TAGTGCTCAGATATACTCTCTTCCACAGCCACTGTGCAAGCCATTGCACCCTTCTTTCCAAGTAAAGCACTTCCAGCTCCTGGGATTGGAGTACCAGACACGTGAATACAATTAAATCGGAAGCAAAACAAATAATTTAACACAATTGAAGACTTCACAAAACAACAAAAATAGGAATTATACAAACTCACCTAAAACAAAACCTGCTACGTTCCAGAAAGGCAATAAAACAGTAGGTCGAACTCTATATGCAACCATGAGCTCATTGAATTTTTTCAGGTGGTCTTTTTCTTGATCCCACATTTGCTGCAAAAGAACCAGATCACAGAGAAGCATAAAACCACAGGAGATAAACATTTCCAATAAAACTAAAACAACCAAAACAGTTCACACCACGTATGCTGTGATAGCTGAGGCAATACTGTTAACACTAACATCACAGGGAAGAAACGGTGCAGAAAGAAATGGATCCTTATAAAAAGGACAGACGAGGACAGTTATAAGAAGGCAACAAAAAAACATTTACGAAATAGAACACTACCGTAAATGTAGCATTGGTAACTCCCTTACTCCACCTATCTTTTTAAACCCGCACGTTTGGAAGTGCTTAGGAAAAATAGACAGTACCGCTGCCGTGAAGGCTAGGGTCTTTCACCGACACGCGGCCGCTGTGACTCAAAGGCGAGTTCAGGAGGAGCAGGGGGTCGCTGCCAGGAGCGCTCACCTGGATGACGGCTCCCACGCTCGACCTGCCCAGCACGGCCATCTGCCCCGCATAGATGCGGTTCGCCCCGTACTCCCCGGCATGGTCCACGCGGATGATGCGGTCTATGACGGGCTTGTTGATGCCCTCCTGCGCCACCCGCGTGCTGCACAGCCTGAGGGAAGCCTCCCCGCCGGGCACAGGCCGCAGACCTGCCGGAGAGACAAAGGTGACGCGAGCTCCGCCGCCGCCCGCTCCCCGTCCGGGACGGGCGGGTGGACGCTCCCACCCGCGGAGC